AAAGTATCTTAATTTACTATAACTGTCCTCTGTATTTTATATGTATTTTGGACTGTTAGCCAGGCTGTTAATCTATATGTATGATAATTAACTTTATAAGAGCTTACAAGATAAATATATGAACCTGATGCTGGCAAAAAAAAAAAAAAAAAAAAGAGATAGGGGGGAAGAGAACTGAGATGTTTTATGTACTTGTACCAATTCCCCATAATGAATATAATCATTAGGTACTGCAAACACGTATTAATAAAAATTTTAAATTGAAATAAATGAGGGGAGTGTAGCTGCAGGAAAGCAAACCTCAGGCCATGTCAGGTTGGTCCAACAAGGACTTGGAAATGACTTCCTCAAAAAGCATGGCTGGGGCCAGGGATTTAGCTCAGCGGTTCGGTGGCCTGCCTTGCAAGTGCAAGGACCTGAGTTCAATCCCCGGTACCAAAAAAAAAAAAAAAAAAAAAAAAAGCAGGCGGGGGTTTGGGGAGGGACAAGGATAAGCACATGCACTGAGACTGCGGGTTCCATCTTTATCACCAAAAAAAGAAAAGTATGACTGTAAAGAGAGGGCAGCAGGTGGTAAGTGATGACAGCTACTGGGTTTTCAAGCCAAAGCTAGGAATGCGCTGAGTTTGTGTACGTGATAATAATAATTCAGATAAAAGGGAGCTGTGTCTAACAGGCAAGAGGGCTGGGAAAGGCCCCCTGGGTGAGATTTTTTTTTTCTTGAGGTTCCTGGGGATTGAAAGCATAGAATTACGCATGCTAAGCAAGTGCTCTACTACTGAGATACATCCCCAGCTCTTTTTACATTATTTTGAAACAGGGTCTTGCTAACTTTGCCAACTTGTAATCCTTCCCTCAGCTTCCCAAGTAGCTGGGATTTAAATCAGGCATGTACCACACCATACCCAGCTGGGATATGAGCTGGATAAGGAAGAGGGACTGTGAAGCAGTGGTTCTCATACTTGAATTCTGGGCTTCCTAGACCCTACTTCCAGAGTTTGCAGGGCTGAGGTTGGTCTGAGAACTGCCTCTCTACTAAGTTCCCAAGTGATGCTGCAGGTCCTAAAACCTCACTTGGAGAACCAGTGGTAAGAAAATGTGTAGACAAGATGGCAGAAACTTGAGGAAGTTTACAGATTCTGTCTTTTAGATTTTTCTCTGGGAAATCATGAGGTTGTATGGTGAAAATGAAAGAGGGTGGTGGTGAAATGAAAAATGTGGAAAGAGTAAAAAATATGAGCCATCGCTCAAGCGCCGGGAAGGTAGGCCGGCCCCGATCCACCGCAGGAAGGAGAACCACGCCTGCGCCCGACCCAGCAGCCATCGCTCAAGCACCGGGAAGGTAGCTGCGCGGGCGCCCCTGAACCCCCATAAGCCACCCCCGCCACACTCTCAGACCTCCTGACTGTGCAAGTCTTTGGATCCACTCTGCAAAGACAGAGGTGGTCATCAAGGGTATTTTTCTGAGTTCCCAACTTTGAACATCTTTAAAAAAGGGCGGGGGAAACCTGTAATAGAACGTTGTGGAGTTCAGCCATTCAGAAGGATGGGGAACTCAATCTGGGCCTTGCAGCCTGAGGTCAGTCAGCGTCATGGGGTTCAGCAATCAGCTAACTGAGATCAGGGGTCTTGCATCCTTGCTCTGTCTGAGCCATTAAATGGTTAATATACTATGTTGAAAAGTTTGTTCACTGCAGACATGTTCTGGACTGCTTCTTGATTTCAATTTAATTCAAATGATTTAAGGGTGATAGACTGGTGACTACCACAGGTGGTCAGTGTCTAAGTTGTGCTTGATCTTAATGTGTTGCTGATTGTATCAGTTGGGTAAAGCATTGCCATTGATTTGATGAGCTGTTTTCTCTGATGTTATGAGGATGAGAATGTCTGTGGGTCGTTAGAGACACAGAAGCTAGGGTGCAACTATATCAGAAAGATTTGGGTGATAATGCAGAGATTAAACCAAGGACAATCCGACAACAAAAATTAAAATGAGAAAACACTTAAGCAAGACACGAGGACAGACTTCCAGTTCATCAATGGCAAACAGTAGGGCAAATGAGGATGAAAAGGCCGATAGTGAACCACCAGGACACCCTGAACTCAAAGCACAGGAAGTAACAAAACAGATCAATCAGGCTCTAGAAAAATTCAAAACAGAAATAATTTCCCAGATAACCACAGAGAGAGTGAGCAAAATGAAAGTCGTGATTCGAGACTCTAGAGCAGAAACTGACAAAAAAATAGATGAGCTCAGGACCATGACAGAAGCCATGAAAGCCCAGCATAAGAAAGAAATGGAAAAAATAAATGCCCAACATAGGAAAGAAATGGAATCCATAAAACAGATTCAAACAGATATCCAGGAGATGAAACACTCTATTGAAAGTTTACGCAACAGAATAAAAGAATGTGAAGATAGGCTCTCAGATATAGAAGATAAGATTGCAGTCAGTGACCATGAAAAGAGAGGTCTCTTAAAAACAGTAAGAGATCATGAGAAATCGATCCAACAACTCCTAGATGATGCAAAGAAGAACAACATAAGACTGATAGGAATCCATGAAGTAGCAGGAGAAAATACAAATGACTTAAAAAAGCTGTTTGCAGAATTAATGACAGAAAACTTCCCAAACAGAGGGAAAGAATTTGACATTCAGATAACTGAGGCATATAGGACCCCAACTAGATACAATCAAAAAAAATCTACACCTAGACATATAATAATCAAGATTCCAGAAACCCAACAGAAGAACAAAATACTACAGGCAGTAAGAGAAAAAAACAAATCACATACAAAGGAAAGCCCATCAGAATCACAGGAGATTTCAACACAAACCCTTGGGGCAAGGAGAGCCTGGAATGAGATATTTCATGTACTAAAAGAGAACAACCTCCAACCTAGACTGATGTATCCAGCAAAACTCTCTTTCAAAATGGAGGGGGAAATAAGACACTTCCACGACAAAGAACACCTGAGAAACTACATGAATACCAAACCAGCACTACAAGCAATTCTAAACAAGATCCTAG